TTACTGTTACATGAGAAACTATCTGTTCTGTAAGCCTTCACCTGAAGTACAATAAAATATTAAAAAAAAAAAAAAAGTAGTGCAACAGTCCATACACTGTAACCCCATGACCCTAATTCTGTAAATATAAACTAATATACCTATATACACCCATAAGGTCCCTGGGAGGCACAGTTTGTGCTCAGCTGCTAACTGACAGCTGGCTGTTTGAACCCACCCAGTGGCTCCATGGAAGAAAGTCCTGGCGATCTGCTCCTGTAAAGATTACGGCCAAGAAAACCCTATTGGGCAGTTCTACTCTGTCACACATGGGGTCGCTGTGAGTCGGAGTCAACTCGAGATAATGAACTTGGTTTTACATCTGCCCATACATATGAAGCCCTGAAAGGAAATACGTCAAGCAGTAACAGCAGTGTCTTTGGGAGGCAACATTATGAGGCGACTGTTTTCTTCTTTCGGATTTTCTGTATTCTCAATGCTCCATAAATACGAAATACTTGGGGATGTTATCCCAAGGTCTCGCTGGAGGATTTCTATAAGATCAATCACCTCCCTAATCAATAAGCAGGCATCCAGGGAAAGTGGGCCTCTCGATTCATAAATGCTGACATGACAAGCGAGACGTTAAACAGTGACTGTTCACAGGAACTGCACATGTTTGACGGTTGACTTCATCTTTAGGGAAAACCCTGTGGAATTTCTGGGGTGTAAAATTAAACACCAACCAGTGACCCTGAATTATTCAAAAGTGAAGAGGTGCGTGTCTTTCTGGTCGTTTATTCACTAAGAGACTTTTGTGAATGTTTGCATGTTTATTTGCTCGCTCGACTGTCTACAGGTTCCAGGGTGGAAGAACGTGATGCCAGGACTCTGAGACACTCTGAGGGACCAGCCTGACGGCAGCCCTGTGTCACCAGGATGTCTGAGACGGCTGTGAAGGAGGAAGGAGGGCGGAACGGAGTGGGTGCCCGGAGGGGTCACAGGGGCACTGGCGTGAGCACATGTCGCCCACGAGAACAGGGTCAGTGGCACACCTGGCTGGGGGGACTGTCGGGGGAGGTGGGTAGGCTCCTCTGTGTCCACCCGTGCCGGCGAGCACACAAGATCACAGAATGACCCTGGCAGCTGTGCCAGCCAGTCAACACCTGTACCAGTCACTCCGTGTGGCCCCCTGAGAGCCTGGGCTCACTCAGCATCTCAGCTGGGAAGGAGGGTGGGAGGTGGGTTTATGCTGAGTTACATGCCTAAGTAAGAGACGTGGTGCACTGCCCACACTGAACTCTGCTCAGATGCACAGGCCACTCGGTGCAGCACTATTGTGAATGAGAACAAAGACGGCCCCTTCCACACCTCCACTGTCCCAAAGAGGTGGCTGCCCTCTGCCTTCCCCAGACCCGGCCCCATCTTACCCCTCCTGACACAGCTGTGCACCATGTGAGGATCCTCCACGAATCGACAAGGACAAGTGTCCAGCAGGCCACTCGAGGACCAGGCGGTACCATCCCACTTTGGCCTCCTGGTCACCCTGGTGGCACCTGCAGGCCAGCTGCTGGCTGATGCCTGCCCCACCTGTGCCTGCCCCACACATGCCTGCCTGCTCACCCCGCCACTGTCTCCACACAGACCTGAGAGCCAGCCCAGACACTGTGTGTGTAAGCCCACAGGTCAGTGCTGTCCCTGAGCAGCAGGCAGGACCCCCTAGGGACCCCTGGCAAACTCCACCTGTCTGGAGCAGGTGACGCAGGCCAGCTGTGCACGGTGAGCGTGGGTAGCCCTGGGCAGAGGCACCACACCACAAGCTGTCGTCTGTGCCTTCTATCTAGCTCGGCCCCATGCTGGCCTCTACCTGCCATCCACTGATCCACGCACTCTGGCAACACTGTGGGTACCTCGGCCCCTGCCAGGTCCAACACTGACCTATAGCATGACCTGGGCCTCCAGTGGGCTGGCAGCCTCAGGACAAGCTGGCGCCCACGTCTGTGCCCCTGCCCCCACAGAGCAGCTCTACGTGGAGGGTGGACGCACGGGAGGGTGGGAGCCAGAGAAGGCTCATGCCCTGGTGGGCACCCCAGGCCTTGACGCTGGTGCTGTCCTGACCAGACGCAGGCAAAGCTGCCGGCGGCCTGGGGCCAGGGGAGCTCAGATGTAATGTGGGTAATGGCCAGGCCTCCTCCTGCCTGCAGGCCCAAGGCTATCGCTTGAGGCCCTTCTGGCCCAGCACAGTCGTTTCTTGGGGCCAAGGGCTGCCCTCGCTCCTGATCACCCAGAGCACGCGGCCACAGAGCTCACCTTGAAGAGCAGGCAGTCAGCTTTGTGCTCAGCGTACATGGACGTCAGCCGGTACTGGTTCTCGGTGGTGATGTCGATCTGGTAGCCCGTGAGTGTGTAGCAGACTTTCCGGAACTCCTGGATCTTGGTCTGGAAAACCTCCTTCAGCCTCTGGTTTTTCAGCTCGGCGCTTTCCACCTGTTTCTTCAGCTCTGGAGAGACAGGGGGAGGGCTCAGTGACTGGCTGGAGGTGAAGGGGCCGTCAGGGACCAGAGGAGAGGGAGGGGCATGGAGGGGCCGCCGACTTGAGGGACAGGACGAGACAGCTGAGCTTTCGTACCCCTACCCTGAAGAGAAAAAGGAGCCACTCTCCACACCAGCAACTCAGTGTGTGAGCATCACATGATGGAAAAGCAGCCAGGACACTGACCGTCTGGCCCTCAGTGAGGACAAACATAAGGTCACCGTATGTGCCCCGTCACTGATGGCAGGTGCTGAACGGCACCTTTAGCTCTGGCCCTGGCTCCACACCTGGCCCTCTCCTTCCTGAGGACCTGCTCCCGACTGGCAAAGCGACCAACCTCACACTGTCCCTGAACACCTGAGAAGCCAGGCAGTACCAGTGACAAGAGCGAGTGTGGCACGCCCCAGCCTCGTGGCAGAGTCCAGGAGGGAAGGTGTCTCATGGGGGAGAGGGGGACTGGGAATTGGACCCTGGACTGAGATCAGGGTCTGCTGCACCCCGGTGTGTGATGCCAATGATTGTCTCCTTGCTGGCAGGACCCCCACTGCCCCCCAGGGGCCACCACGACCCTGCACACTGGAAGCATTGAAATGCCAGGTGGGAGGAAAGCCCCTGGCCAGGGGTTGTTTGGGGGTTTCCAATCACATTGCCCTGGGGGTTCTGCCTGCCAGAGAGAAGTCTGCCTGCAGGTGAAGAAGGGCCCCTTGGAGGAAGGGACCAGGGTTGAGCGGAGCTGCCTTCTCTCCTGGAGAGAAAACAGATTGGGCCTCAGGGCCCCATGAGCCCAGAGGGAAGCCAGGCTCACACCTTAGCCACCTCTTCCTGACCCTGTGACCCTGCACAAGCCCCCTGCGTCCCTGGCCTTCACATGTGAGATAGGAACCCACCATGCAATGCCTCCAGAGACCTAAGTCAGGCCGCACAGCTGAGAGCACATCATAAACTGCAGAGGGCTTTGAGTGCTGCCGTCCTGTCTAAAAACGTGGGTGCTGAATGAATGTCAGCCATGTGGGTGATACCACCTTACAGACATAAACTGTAGAGGGCCATGACTGTCATAACCCTGTGGGATATGTACCAGTACTCTCCCCATTGTACAAACAGGGAAGCCGAGGCTCAGAGGTCAGCCCTGTCAAGCACAGGGAAAAGTGTCAGATGAAGGCTGGTTCAGTAGCAGCCCCACCGCCTCCCTGCTGCCCTCAGGTGCTTGGGAAACCCTCTTGGGCCTTGCTGATGTGATCCCAGTTATGAGGAAGGCCTGGTGCAGGGCCCTCATTCTGGGTGAGGCTCCCTAGTATCGGTGAGAAGACAAGGACTGTATAAAGAACCCAGCTGCCAGTGAGGCCCCATAGGCACCTGCACTCCCCTGCCCGTCTGCCGTTCATCACTGGCACTGACGCCCTTGTGGACTCGGCTCTCCCAGAGCCTCTCCACGGGGACATAGGCCCTGATTAATCGAGTAATCGGACCACGGAATCAAAAGGTTAATTGACAGCTCTGACCCCAATATGCTTCCCGGCCTCCCTCGGCCAGGCCACCCGGAGATGGAGTGGCTGGCAGGAGGACGCCCACTGGCAGAAAGTCACTGAGCACACTCCCGTGGTGATGTTTCACCGTGTCAGAGACAGAGACGGCACTGCCTTCCACGCACGTCAGACGTCTGCAGGGAAGAAGTAAACTCTAGTAATCAATGTGGCCTGGCCTTGGAGCAGAACAGAGCCCCTCCCCACCATATCCAGGTGCTGCAGACTTTTGTGCTTCCTGGGCTCCAGGAGTGGATGGGCCGGGCTGACGCACCAGCTCCGAGTCTGAACAGATCAGCCCCTCAACACCTCCTCACAACACACCTCTGCTGCTCTCAGTGAGGCTCAGGGCTCGGGGAGAGGGGTGTGGTGTCCTCCTCCCAGGAGTGGGTTATGCTGCCTGGACACACGCCTGCAGGGCACATGCCTGTGGGGCACACACGTGCAAGGCACACATCTGCCTGAACACATGCCTGCCAGGCTTACTCTTACCTGGACACACGCCAAACACACACCTGCCCAGACGAACGCCTGCTGGGCTTACGCCTGCCTGGACACATGCCTGTCCAGATGAACACCTGCTGGGCACACGCCTGCTGAGTACATACATGGCTGCCTGGACATATGCCTGCTGTCTATCCCAGCTGGGGAAGTGTCCTCAGGGGACGAAGGGTGCTGCGTACACTCCCTCTTGGGGAGCACCCTGCGCACCTGCTCCCTAGAGACACCTATCCGGTACAGCCCTCACAGCAACACATGGGGACTCACCACCCCTCTGACGCCAGGACATGGGGCTCGGAAACCACTTCCTGCAGGCCACGTGGTTGGTCTGTCAAGGTGAGGAAGGGGCTGCCCTCGGGAAAGGCTCATTTACTGAGCCAGGCTCAGGGCCTGGACTCTCGCTGTGACTCAGGCACTGCACAGCCGGTGCTTGGCTTCCCTTTATTCTTATAGTTCCATGCTTACGTAAAGGGGGTGAATAATTCACACAGAGGTTTGGATTAAATAAATAACAGACGGCTTTCACCTAGGAAATGTCACTGCTTTCCTGCCTGCTGCACTCGTGCCACCTGTGTTCCCAAGTGAGCTGGGGAGGCCCTGGACGTGTAGCCCCCAGAGGAAGGTGCCCTTGAGGCCCAGAGACCCCTAGGGTCTGTGGTGAGCCTGCAACCACCCAGCCTGAGACCACAGGACTGTGGTGACCCCATCCTATCAGGCAGCTTGGTGCCACTGGAGCCAGGTGGAGCACAGAAACATCTGGGCACCGCCCAGCCCCCTGAGAAGGCAGTCCTAAAAAGCTGGGGTCCAGGAAATATTGCCAGGGCCTCATCTCTGCCACGTGGGCACAGCTGCCTGGTCGGGCCTGGTGGACTCCTTGGGCCTCACCCGCTGGTGGGAAGATAGAGTTAGCAGTGTGGCCCCAGTAGCTGTCAGGTCTGCTGAAGCCTTCAGAGAGCTCCCAGGCTCCCCCAGCCTCAGTCTTAGACTGCTGCGTGGCATGTCCTGGGTCATGCTGCTGGGCGGAGGCCCCTCCTGGCACGGCAGGTTCGCTTCCTGGGGGCCCTGCTTAGGCTCTCTGTCCATCCCCTCCTCCCCGTGGCCCGTCTTCCTCATGAGGCCCTCCAGTCCTGGCTCTGACGCCTGGGACTCCCCTCCTTGCAGCACCCCCCACCTGCCCCAGCGGAGCTGCCCCCCTTCCCTCCTGGCCGCACCTGTACCTCCTCCCTCGGCCCTACTGAAGTCCCTCCCGATTCACAGCGGCACACAGCAGATCCATGGAGGGAGTGTGGAGGCAAGTGAACAAGCCAGACGATGAGGAAAAGGAGGGCAGAGGAGAGAGGGGGCAGGTAGCTACAGACTCAGTGCTTAGGCCTGGTGAGCAGGTGGCTGCCTTGGCTGTGTTTTCCGAGTGGCTACTGCCTCCTTGTTGATTGGGTGGGTGAGCTGTGATGGCCCCAGCTGAGCCACCGAACAGAGCCACAGACATGCCACCCAACACCTGGCTCCCCCTGGAATCGTGGGAGCAGCCGTGAAGGTTCTGTGGAAGGACAGAGAATAAAAATAAACTGCACTCATTATGTAAAGGCTACTGGCGAGAAGAGTGGCGTTACCCCTGAGAGTGGTGATGTTGGGATGAAGGTGAGTTTGTGGCTTGTCCCTCCAGAGGGACAGCTCACACCTGGACACGGCCTGTGGTTTATACTTAGTGGAGCGAGTGTGAGGTGGGCAGCTGCGATGCACTGAGGGAGGGACAGAGTGGAGAGTGACAGAGCCGTGGGCAGTAGGGCTGCGCTGTCCGTAGCCACACAGCTGTTTCACATAAGTACCAGGGCCACTTTCCTTCTTACAGCTCTCAGGTGAAAGGGCAAGGGCACTGGGGTGGGTGGAGGGGCTCTCTGCTCTTGAATCTCTCCAACAAGTGGCCTACACTTGTGTGACCCCAGAGCCTGCCAGGCACAGAAGCAGCACCTGCCCCTTGACCACACTGCTGGGTGGCTGCTGAAATGGGGACTCTGGGATTGGGGCCTTGCTTGGGGAAGGGAGAGCAAAAAGCTAGCACTTTCCTCTAAAGCCCTTCATTCTGCAAGGTGCTAACACTCACAGGCAGGCTAAGATGAGATAGGAATGCTTCTAACGATGATGCAGATGGCTCTTAGGAGGGCAGCCCCACAGGACTCCGCAGACATCTGAACCAGGATGGCAGCTGATGCATGGCCAGCTGGGCTAGGGGCCTTGGGTGCTGGGGGAACATTGCCTTGTTTGGGTCCAGCTATGGCTCGATTCTGTGGGGCCTGGTACTGAGGGCTGAATTCTGGAAGGAAGAGACAGACCCCAGGCACCTCACCAGCTTTGCCTGCCTCACACCCCTCCGTAGCCTGGAACCTGTCCAGGCAAAGGCGCCCACGATGGGGGCTGGTCGGACTGTCTGAGTTCCAGGAAGATTCTCACCACCAGGTCAGTGCCTTCAGGCAACCTGCCCAACCCTGACCTGCTGCCCCAGTCGCATGGAAGGCTTGACACCGAGAGGAACCCAGCCCCCCTGTACTCTGGAGGCAGCCAGAGGAGGGACGTCAGGCTACCTCTCCCAGACCCGTGGCCAGAGAGTGGAGAGCAGGGTTCAAATCAGAATTATATGACCCCAAGGTTCTGCAGTTGTGATGCCCAAGGCTGCGCCGCTGGGGTCACCACACTGGGTCACCCCACTGGAACTGCCTCTGCTCAGGCTGGCCTTGGTGCTGGTTGGCCCCATTTTCTGAGCTCATATGCCGCCCTCTCTCCTAGGTCTGGCTCCAGTCTTGTGCGGGGGCCCAAACCATTTGGACAGGTCTCTACGCAGCCAAGGCAGGACACAGCCTGAAGGAAAGCCCTCCCTGTGGTCACTAGGCCTTCACAGGGTAGCCTGTCCTGGTGCCTCTCCAGGTTTACCGGACACTGCTTTATTCCT